TTCATTCGCGGAATAATATGAGTTCAGCGTAGTAATACAGGTGTCCGACGGCATCTGCGACCGAGGTGGCACAAACCTGCAACCTCCAGGATGAGCGGCCACTTGTTGTCAGTCAGTCGTTTTAGTCTGTCCGAATCTATGTTGAGTCCGAGCTGTCTTGCATCGTAATTAATTGTCTCCTAAGACTCTCATTCTCGTTGCTGTCCCATCTCTCTCTCTCTGCAATAGAATCATTAGTATTGCATTTATCGAATAATATTGTGTCTGTTTAGAATCGCTTTAGTAGAGAATTAGATTATAAAAGAGACTCTCAGGGCCATTTCGGGTAACTCCCATGCTTTGGGGACGCCCAATAAACAATTAGTACCGAAATTCACGTGTATTCTTCATTCACTGAGCGACCCACACCCTTTTCAACATTTAAGTATTTTTCAGTGAGATGCTGAGCTAGTCCGGAGGTCTGTTTATGTGACAGGTAAATGACCAGGTGTAGGCTCACACGTAACATTAGTATTTTTCAATCATAGTAACATGTTTATTAACAAATAGTTAATCTTAAAAATAAAATTTAACTATAATTAACATGGATCTTATTTTTTTTATTAAAAATTTAGTATTTTTAAATTATAAGACCATGTTTATTAACAAATAGTTAATCTTAAAAATAAAATTTAACTATAATTAACATTGATCTCAAATTATTAGTAAAATAAAACTTATTTTGGTTAATCAAATTATGATTAAATCATATTTTCTTAAATAAATAATTTAAGTTAATATATTAATCATAGATATCGTCGATATCATCTTTGTCATCATTGTCTTCTGAATATTCAAGTAAATTCATGGTGGTTATCAAATTATCACTAGCCATATTATCATTATTGTCATCTTCATCTAATTTTTTGGTTACTTTTTGACTCTCATACAGTTGACTAGTAAATCTTTTTACCATGTCATCAGTTGGCATATAATTCTTACAGCACAGCTTAAATACTCGCATATGAATGCGTATTCGCATTAAAGAGACTAGCATATCTATTAACATGCGATTCCTACATTTTGTTTTGATCAAAGCCATCACACTGAATACACGTTCAACATCCGCATTGCTTGTGGGCAAAGATAGTGCCCTCAAAGCAAATGCTGCTAAATCTTTAAACCGCTTAGAGCCATTAGAATTCTCAATTTTGTTTACAGCAATCCAAAAATCAATAGTGCTAATGTTCTCATCAACATTATCACAAATTTCACTAATTCTCATAGTTCTTAAGTTCCGCCACTGTCTTTCAATTGCATCTCTGCCTGCGTCTTGAGCTGTAATAATATATAATACATAGATATTACGTATGCATATCGTATGTATTAATATCTATTTACGTGTATGTTTACCTGCTAAATCCCATGGTAGGCACTCGACAGAAACATTAGACGTTTGATCCATACATAATCTCAGGGTAAAATACCGTATGTTAGTTAAAACTGAGATATTATCAGGAAATCTCTTAACTAACTCCTCACATAACTTGAGCATGTATGATCTTGATCTCACTTTCACAGTCTGTAAATTTTCGCTAGAAATAGTAGACTTGGTAAGATACATAGTAAATTTATAACCAAAATCAACTGAGTCTAATGGTAGTAAGGAGTTATCAAAGTCACAGTTGGCTTTTGATATTGCACGTTGAGCAGCTATATCAGCAGCTATATCTGCCTGATGGATCATTGCCGTTGAAGCTGTTTTTGGCGGAATAGATTTTAAATAAATAGGCTTAAAAATTCTCCTCGCTACAGATAATAATAGAATTCTTAAATCAGTATAAAGTTTTGTTATGTCAGCATTTGCTTTTTGGAATGCAATATTTAAATCAGTAACTTCCTTTAAAACAGTATCTAAAAACAATAAATAAAGTATGTTGCTTTCATCTCTATACATCTGCCCTAAATTTCGAGCATTAATATCTTTGTTGGCTGGAGAACTTTTCAATTTAGTAAAAAATGCTTTTAGTGGCGGCTTTTTTCCGTCCTTAATTTTTTCATACATGGTTCTATAAGTTGTTTGTCGTAACGGACTTTTTGAAAATCAATTACGGGTTTCTTTTAACAAAAAGTCGACAGAAGCTGGTAATTCGTCACTTGTTTTTGACGCACACAGACTTAGAGAATGGCAACTACACTTCATTAGTTGGACTTTGGGATAGTCTTTTTTAATTAAAGTGAATAAACTGTGCTTCACACCGCACATATTACTGGCTCCATCAGTTCCTATGCCCACTAATTTGTCAAGATTCAAGCCAACTTTAGAGAAGAATTCTCTGAAATTCTTGTATAAGTTATCGGCTGTAGCAGAGGACACTTCGTCAAATCCTAGAAAGTCCGTAATAAATTGGTTGCAAGTATTACTGAAATATCGGACGCATTACGCCATGTATTTAACCGTCGACACATCTGTCGACTCATCCAATATAACTGAATAATCTTGGTCACCAATATCTTTAATTAGTTCGATTAACATTTCAGGTGCCACTACGTTTAAAATAAGTTTAGATGCTTTTGTGCGGTGTAAACGTACTTTTTCAAGCTGACTACCTTTGCCATGTTGCTTTAAAACTTCACCCAAGTGATCTACACTTTTAATTGAACTGTGATTTGCAACATACAGTGCCATTTTAATTTCGGCAATTTTTAACTCTCGTTTTTCGGATGGATTGACTGAAAAATAAATACATGAGTAATTATTTGTCTACATCTGATAAAAAGTGTCATATTGATAATAAAAATTAAGACGTACCGTGATTCATTAACGACGGTTGTTGTTTTCGGTTCCGAGACTCTGCTTGTCGAATGTGTGACGATGTCTTCGCATGTTTTTTGAGATCAGTTGCGTGAGCCCTTAAAGGAACATTGCAATATTTACAACGAGCTTCACCTTTCCCTGATGCAATTGAATCAGCATGGTTTTTTGTAATCCAACCTATGTAAAAAAAAGTAATCGACTAATTTGTTTTGTTTTTGTGGGAGATAGGCAGGGTTCAATAATATAATTAATAAAAGAGTTGTTTAAATTATATGCAACGTTTATTCAAAGTAGAAAGATATATATATATATATATATATATATATATATATATACGTATTACACGATGTGTATAGACTTGACGACTAGCTGCGAATGGTTAGAGAAAACGTATATGCCGACATGCATGCATATGCGTGTATGTGTCGGCGCAACTAGCATGCGCGATGAATCGACGATCAGCGCAGTGTGAGTATTACTATCTCCGACACTCTCCCTTAATACGAGCACGTGTGCTGTATTACTCCGTCTCACTCACTCCCAGTGCCTTCGTGATATCAGTGTATCTCTCTTTGGTTAGTGGCTTCGTGAAAATGTCAGCGATCATCTCTTCCGTTGGCATGTGCGCCAGCTTTATCGTCTGGCTCTGGACCGCTTCTCTGACGAAGTTGAATTTTATCCTGACATGCTTGGTCCGGTCGTGGAACTTCGTCGCCGTTGTCAATTTTATTGCGCCCTGGTTATCGCAATAAATCTCTCCATCTGAGAATTGTGGGATTCCCAGCTCGTAGATGAGTCCTCTCAAGTACATGGACTCTTTAGTGGCTTCTGTAAGGGCCTGGTACTTAGCCTCCGTCGTCGACAGTGCCACTGTCTTCTGTTTTCTGGATTTCCAGCTAATTGCGGCTCCTCCCAGGATGAATGCGTACCCCGTGTACGACTTTGAATCGGTGGGATCATTGCCCCAGTCGGCGTCAGTATATCCTACGATTTTTCCAATCGGTCGTCGATATACAAGTCCCAATTTTGACGTTCCTTTCAGGTATCTTAGTACCCTCTTCGCAGCTCCCCAATGCTCCTCATTTGGATGCTCATTGAACTGGCTCAGCACGCTTACACTGTGTGCAATGTCTGGCCTCGTCGCTACTGATAGGTACATCAGTGATCCGACTAGTTCTCGGTACTGCGGGTTCTTCGTCTGCTTCTCAGCGTCTTTTGCGGCTCTCAACTTTGACGTTGGGCTTGCTGGCGTGCTCTGTGGATTACAATTCACCATGTTAAATTTCTCCAGTAAATCCTCGACGTACTTTCTTTGACTCAAGCTTACCCTGCCTGGCTCTTGTTTAATTTCGATGCCTAGGCAATATTTAGCCTCTCCGAGGTCCTTGATTTCAAATTCTTTGTTTAGGCCTCGTTTTAAATCTATAATCCATTTCTCGTCGTTCGACGTAGCCAAGATGTCGTCTACATATACAGCGACTAGTATTATTTTTCCGTCTTCTTTGTATTGGAAAAGACATGGATCTGATATCGTTGGCTCCAATCCCAACTTCTGGAGTGTAGCTTTTAAGCGTTCGTACCACTTTTTCCCAGATTGTTTCAATCCATATATTGCTTTGCGCAGTCTGCAAACTTGCTCACCTTTTTCGAAGTTCTCAAGCATCTTCGTTGCCATCGGAAGTAATGGTGAATCTCTTCTCTCACTTCGTACGATGAACTCCAGAGTCTCTTTTAACGTGGTTGGAGCTTCCATGTATAGCTCCTCGTCAATTACTCCGTGTAAGTACGCCGTTATTACATCCATTTGATATAATTTTGTTCCCATCTCCGTCGACAATGCTGCTAGTAATCTGATGGTGTCCAGTCTCGCTACTGGAGCAAACGTTTCATCGAAGTCGAATCCAGGTCTTTGTGTGAAGCCCCTGGCTACTATACGCGCTTTCCTGCGCGTGATTTCTCCTTCTGCGTTTGTTTTATTTTTCAGAATTACTTTCGAGCTGATCACTCTCCCTCGCTCTGGTCGTTTTACCAGCTCCCAGGTTCCATGTTGCCGGTGTGAACGCACCTCATCAGCGATTGCACGCTTCCACTCGTGTGCATTATCGCCTTTTGTCGCTTCTTCTAGCTCAATGTCAGCCATGTGAGCCATTTCTTCGATGAATTTAACCTCTATCGGTTCATCGTCGTCTTCCAGGTCTTCGACGTCGTTCGTCGATGTTCCAGCTCCATCGCCACCTATTTCACTGCGTGCTCGCTTGTCGATTTGCACTAGTGATGTATCGAGCGGTCTTTTCTCGCCTCGATTTTCTTCGCTTGCCTGGTAAAACACGTCGTCGGGTCCATCTACTTCTTGCTCCATTGGATCATTTACGTCCTCTCCGTGACTGGATGCATTGCTTGAAGCGACACTCGATATGCTTACGTATCGGTACAGCTTTCTCGGTCTCCCGGGTTTCCCTGACTTTTGTTTTGCGGGTCTTCCCGGCGCACGTTTCGGTGGTCCCATCTCGGGCTCTTTGTGGACTCTCTCATTCCTGGTCTCTCTCCCTGACTCAGGAGCGTCTTCTACTGGATTCATGTATTCAAGATCCATCTGTTCGACGTTTCGTGATCTCAATATTGGTTCCTCGATAATTGATACATCCCTGGTGTATTCAATTTTTCCAGTATCACTTCGTCGTATTTTGTAGGCTTTCGCGGTTTATGAATAACCGACAAGTCTACCTTCTACAGATTTTTCGTCTAGCTTTCCTCGACCTGGACCTTTCTTGAGTACAAATGCTTTTGCACCAAATACACGTAGATGTCTTAAATCTGGCTTGTCTCCATGCCATAACTCATATGGAGTTCTTCCTTCATGGCTCCTGCTCGGACACCGGTTCCTCAGGTAATTCGCAGTGTTTACTGCCTCTGCCCAGTACATTTCTGGCAGTCCTGACTGAATCAATAAACATCTGGCCATGTCGACGATTGTTCTATTCATACGCTCGGCTACGCCATTTTGTTGTGGCGTGTACGGCACTGTGAGTCGCCTCTGTATGCCTTCACGTTGCAAAAACTCGTCGAATTGCTTGTTGCAATATTCTCTGCCGTTGTCTGATTGCAAGGCTTTAATTTTCTTGCCTGCTTGTTTTTCCGCAAAGCTTTTATACGTTTTAAAAGCTTCGAAGACCTCGTCCTTGCTCTTCAGGAAGTGTATCACGCACCAGCCACTATAATCGTCGATAAATGTAACGAAGTATCGGTTGCCTCCTTGTGACCTCGTTCTTGACGGCTGACACAAATCAGTGTGTACAATTTCGAGCAGCTTTTTGCTCCTTTCTGTCCTTGGTTTAAAAGGTTTTGTCGTCAACTTGCCTCGTTGACAGACCTCGCACGGCTGTCCGTCCCCTTTTACCGGTTTTAAACCCGTCGCGCGACCATTCGACAAATCCACTACGGCGTCCATGTGCAAATGACCTAGTCTAGCATGCCACAGGCTTGCTTCCGACGTGTGCGACTCCTCTGTCGCTGCGTTGACCTGCTCTTCAGCTTCTCTCAGGTAGTACAGATCTCCAACCCGGTCTGCTATCATCTTGACGTTGCCTTCTAGGTCTCTGATGACAGCTCCATCTTTTCTAAATAGGACCTCTCGGTCGTTTTGTGTGATTTTCGACACGGAAAGTAAATTAGTCCTGAGATCTTTTACTAATAATGCATTATTAATTTTAACTTTTACATTACCATTTATTGTTGCTGCTGTCAGGTACGCCGTCCCTTTTGCCTTCGCTGTCGTCGATGCGGTGTTGGCCATGTTCAGCGTTGCTGTACACCTCTGAAGATCCTCCATCATCTCCTGACTCGCACACATGTGCGTCGTGCAGCCGCTGTCCAAGCACCATCTCGATGTGGATGTCACGTTGTTAACCTCTTCTGTCGTAGCGACTTCTATGTATAAATTTTCAAAATTTGTGCTGACATTTTTCACTGTGCCTTTTGGACGTTGTGGGCATTTTGATGCCCAATGTTCAAGGCTACCACATATATAACATGGGTACCTCTTTTTCTGCATCGGGTTATTACGACGCTGATTACTGCTTTGCCGATTTCCAGCGTAGAGAGCATTGTTATCGACCGCTACATTGACGGTGCGACTCTTATTTTCGTCCATAATTTTTCCGATGAGCACCTCTGTGTTCGGCAGATCGTCCTTGGACCTCATGGCACACCTGAAGTTCTCGTAGCTCGGCGGCAGACCTTTGAGTATTAACACGACCAGCATGTCGTTGGGAATATCAATCTTCATCCCCGCCAATTGCTCTACGGCACTTGAAAATTTGTCTAGGCGTCCTCTGAAATCGTCGTCTTCCTCTATCTTGAATGACGTAATATCTGTGAGTAGTTCAATCTTCCGCACTGGGCCTTTTGAGGCATGAATCGACTGAAGCTTTTCCCAGGCTTCCTTCGACGTGGTGCAATTCGATATGCTTCTCAGTTCAGCTTCACCCACCGACAGGATAATTTCAGCCAAAGCTTTTTCGTCGTTCTCCTTCCATTTGGTCAGCGCGGACATCGCCGCACGATCACCAGATCCAGCATCTGGTACCGGGATATTACCGCTGACGTAACCCCACTTGTCGTGTCTTAATAGCACGGCCTTCATACGAATTCGCCATACCTCGTAGTTCGAGCTATTGAGCAACTCGATCCTCGATGATCTCTCGGCGTTCATTTTTGAGGTTAGGTTT